CACCACCACCACCACTACTACTACTACTACTACTAACAACAACAACAACAACATTAAACAAATGACAGAAATGCATTTGAGGTTCCTTTCCTAAAATATTTTAATTTGAAACTAAAAATCCAAAATGTCCAAAGCAGCAATGAAAATACCAGTCATTATTTCATTATTTTATTTCAGGTCTTTTTTTATGAGGAAGTTAAATATTTTTAAAATCACAATATTCTAATAAATTCTATCAGATATGTCCAATATATACATATGTACAAATGTTATAATGAAAGAAATTTGTGGTCCTCCAGATGCTGTTGGACTCTTGTTTCCATCAATCTTTGACAGCCAGGCCAGTGATGAAGGATAATGGGAATTGTAGTTTATCAACATCAGGAGGACTACAGGTTCCCTAGCATAGGCAGAGATATCATCATCATCTACAGGAAGAATGTTATTTTTCAGTATTTTTTTTTAAAAAAGAATACAGATATGATCTAAAGCAGTGGTTCTCAGACTTGGGTCTCTAGATGTTCTTGGACTACAACTCCCAGAAATCCTGGCCAGCACTTTCAGTGGGTAAAGGCATCTGGGAGCTTTAGTCCAAGAACTTCTGCGGTCTTAAGGTTGGAACCACTGGCCTGAAGACTCATGCAAGAGAGAAACAGGTGGATTTGCAACCCGATAATCATTGTATTATAACGCTACAGAAAGCACTAATGAGCAAAGTGCCTGGATTGTCCTGTAAGGATGCTAAATACCTAGTCAGAACAGTAGTACATCTTGCCTGGTCTACTCTTGTTTCCAATAGAAACTGTGTTACAAGTATCCATACCTCCTCCAATATAGGAGAACATGACTGTAGCAACCCCTCTTCACAGTAAGTACTTCTACAGTGACTTTCTTTTCCCCTGAGTTCCTTTACAGGAAATTCTCTGCAGTAAATCCAAATGGAGGCCTCTGGGTCTGCACCTAGAGACTTCCCATATGATTTTGGATGAAGCTGCAAAAATAATGCACTTTGGATAAAGGTGGCATGTTTGCAGGGAGTAACAGATGGAGATGCAGAATATGTGCACATTGTCCCTGAGGTAATGACAGTGTCTCTTAACTTCTCCTCAGTTCCAGATGATTCTTCAGGGTCAAATGAACAGGATCCTGGTCTTTGCATGCACTGGAGGAATTTCATATGATGCCATAAATTTGCATTTTCCCTCAACAACTGTTTGATGCTGTAACTTTCATTTGAACTTGAGTCTGGTCATTGCTGCCAGGAAAATATATTTCGAATAGCATCTAGTGCTCACTGAAAGCATCCGCCTTTGTAAGTGGTTTTGAGATGGATCCAGTGAAATCGTTTTTCCTTTGGGGAATCTAAAGGAAACAATTTAAAAAATAAATAAATAAAGTTATCTTGTCTAGAAGAATTATATGCATGGGTTATTTTGAAACAGTCCCGCTTTCTGTGCTAGTACTTTTCCTGAGCTTTCCCAGCTGAGCAGTAAAATGGAAACGAAGGAGATCAGGATAAAAGTACTCCTTAATCCAGAAAATTTGCAAATTTCTGCACCTAGAAAACAGTTAAAATGACTAATGGCATTTCAAGCCAATTTAAAGGGACAAATGAAAAGACAATTCATATGCAAATCTAATGTTTCCTGAAATGTTTCCTTGAATTGCAGTGCCACTTTCCCCCTTAAAATGCTGACAGAGTTACATAATGGAAGACATGTTCCCTCTAGGATTTAACTGTAAAACACAATAGAGGTTTCTAAATAAACACACATGGAATCTGATAATCTGCAATACTTTCCCTCTAGGATTTAACTGTAAAACACAACATAATAGAGGTTTCTAAATAAACACACGTGGAATCTGATAATCTGCAATACCGTTCTATACATGTTTACTCAGAAACAAATTTCACTGTGTTTGGTTCTACATGAATTTTACTTCTGTCAAGCTGAAAGCCCTTTCCTCTTATTTGCTCTAATTCAGTTTTCTTACATTCTCTTTTTAACATCAAGGAGTCTGTTTTGGTGCCAGGACTCTGTATTTATGATAATGTAGAAAGCAAGGAATGATTTAAGGTGCAACAGAGACTCCTTAGTGAAGAGGCTAGACTGCCTCCTATATGGAAGCAGCCCTTTGTGCGGGCAGGGTAGAAATTTTGGAATGAGCTGCTTCTGACCCACGTCTAGAACCCCATTTTTCAAAAAGTGTGCAGTGTGCTGCAGGTTACTGCCAAACGGAGAGAAAGGGAACGGATCACCGAAGCACTGCTTTGCTCCCTTAAGATAGGCTGGGTCCAACAGAGATACATCGCGTTGTATTGTACGTCTCTAGCTGTCAACATGTCTAGTTTGCCCGTTTGTAAAACTTAATTGAAGATAATGCACCCTTCTTACATCTGAGAAAGATAATTAGTTTGGAACAAGCCCTTATTTAAAAGCAAAGGGGGAAAAAACCTGATTTCTGTCCTATTCATTAAAAACATATTTAATTTGCATAGCCTCTTCCTAATGGAATCTCAGTTAGAAACAAAATGCTTTTTGGGGGGGACCATAGAATTACTTCTATATTTCATCTTCGATATATTTTGGAATGTCAACATCTCTTACATTATCATTCACCTTGTTTAAGTGCATTCAAGGGTGTCACAGAATATGCGAGGAGCCACTTTCTAGAGATTTCACTGTGATTACAGTAAATATATATGTTTAAAATGGTTTTAATGAGCAGACTATGGGAAAATGTAGCTAAAGCGGTTGGCTGTTCCACTCCATTCGGGATTTGTTTCTTACATTAGCATTCAGTTTTCACCATGAGCTGGGGATCCACAAACCTTCTAGATCAACCTTTGACTACCCTGTGTTGCCAGACCACCCTCGATACACTTCATCCATGTCAGAGCTTTATCTATGTTCAGCTCAAACACAGAGCTTCCTGGATTGGAGCTCTGCTTTGTCAGAGATGCTACTAAGCGTGTTTAGCTGAATGCCTCTGGAGACCTTTGCTGGCAGCATAGGGAGGCCAAAGGTCGAGGATGTGGCATTAGAGCACATGTCCACAGCTCTCTCTACTTTCTTTATGTTTTTTTTTATTTTTACATTTCTGTCCCACGTCTCCTCCAATGAGCTTAAGACTAGGTGCATGGCTTCCCTCAACCCCACATTATCCTCACAACAGTATGTGCATCAGTATACGCATTACATACTGGGAGTAGAGCAACCTAACAGACTGTGACTGGGCCAAAGTCAATGACTGGTCAAGATTTGAAGCCAGGTCTCCAGAATCCCACTCCAACCCATCAAACAGTGTATAATAAGTTCTGCTGGGACTTAAATGCCTGGATAGAGCCACTAAGGAGTAGCTTTCCCCCCCAGCCCTTCGTAAAGACCCCATCTAGTATTGATGCGATAAGGTTTATGGGAATGTAGGCCAGAAACAGCTGGAGGGTTCAACTTGTCCACTCCCACTTTAAGAAGTTACACAGAATTTTATTAACTGCCTTCTCATATCCTGCCAATGCTGCAGGTGTAAAGAGAAGAACCATCATTGGTGACAGTGTACTGCCTGAAACAATAAAAAAAGTACAGAGCCACAAGTAAGGCGGGTTGGGACTGTCAGCCTTGATTTTTTTTTCTGTACACACATGCAAACTCTTAGAATAAGGCACTAAATACACCCAGCTAGACAACACTTATTGAATAGGATGGGACCACAATCACATATTCCACCAATTTCAGTGGGTCTAGTTGTGACTAACTGAAATTAGCGGTAACATTATAATTATTATTTATTTAAAATATTTTAACCCCAACTTTCTTCTTCTGTTTACTTCACTCCTGATTATATACTCACTTTTTAGTAGAGTCCACTAAAAATCTAGGTCATCTAGGGACTGAAGAGTCTGGTTGGGGGAAAAAGATATAAACAATGCATTGTCATGAGACATATTTGTATGCTGCTTCTTAATGGTAAAATCATTCGCACAGAAGCTTACAGTTACTTCAGAAAGAGTTGGATCATGCAAAACAACAAATATGTCCAGGTATTTCGATAACAATTACAGCTCAAGAGTTAAAAATTGTACAATAAGCTAAACATCTCACACTGATAAATATATACTAAGACTAAACAATTAATTAGTAATTCAACAACACATAAGTATCAGTTAAAGAAAGAAAGAAATCCAAATACCAGTTAAAAACAGGAATTTTGCAAAGCCAAAGCTAATTTTTGCACAAGTTTTAAAGAGTACATCACCCTCATTAATAAATGCTTACTCCCTCTCCTTAGAGATTACAGACCCTACTAGAGAATTGCTGAGGGTTCTAAATATTCAGTTGCAGGTAGACATCCAGCAGATCAAGCTGCCCTCCACTTTGGTGGCTGTCCTCCCTTTACTAAAGACAAATACTCATTCAGTGACTCTTAATGGTTACATCAGTCCAACCACCTTTCAAGAAGAACTTCCTTTCCATTTGGCAGTTTATCCTGCTCAAGGCTTATAAAATATGAAAATAGTGATGGTTTGATTTCTTACCACATCCAGCTTGAACAAAGCAGTCCACAATCCCGTAGATGCACCTACAGAGTTGGCACCCTTCTTGAATCCATTCACCATGTGCAAGGGCACCACAGGTCCTAAGAAATTGCAATATAAAGTGATAAACAATGAGGCCACACAAACCAGCAGTGGGTTATTTTGCTTTTTTTTTTTTTTTTGACAATAGCTGCCAGAATCCTACAGAGAGTATAGCAGGGGCTGTGTTGGTTCAGAGATGGGTTTCTCATTTTTGAAATAGCCATGCACAAATAATTAACCCCCCCTGCCCCTTTGGGGGATTGTTCATTTAGATAATTTTGCAAAACTTGGAAAAAGTTACTTTTACAGATCACAACTCCCAGAATCTCCAATGAGCTGAGGAATTCTGGGAATTGTAGTAAAGAAAAAGAGGTGTTTCCAAGCTCAGTGTCAAGAACCTGTGTAAATTCTTGTCCAGACAGACCCAAACCACCCATTTTCCCCGCTACTAATATTGTGGCCAGATAGTTGAACAGCACCAATTGCAGAAGTACCTATAGGAAGAATATCCTAAAAAGATATCACTGAACCATGTGACCCAGCATGGGTGGAATTTTCCTTATCTTGGGTTTGTAGAAGGAGAATTTGGAACCAAAAGTAGGTGGAGTAAAGAATGGTTGTGCTTGTTTCTGGATGGAAACCTGTTTCTCAAGCAATCCTTTCACTGAACATATTTGTATAGTGTCAGGTGATGCTACAGAGATGTCTTCATGTGAACACCGTGTGTATCTTACGGCCATAATTACATTTTCTGGGTGTGCTGCACTCTAATAAAATAATGAATAGTTCCACTATTGGAAGAATCCTGAGACATGTTGTTATCTCAGATATATCTGTATACTAAAATTATATATTTAAAAAGCTGAAGTAAAAAGAATGAATTTTGTGTTAAGTTCTTCACTTGATAATTCTTCACTTGTCCTTTAAAACAGGGCAAGGACTGCAAGGCAGACTTGGACCCACCAGTCATCCAGTCCAGCTCTCAGGGATTGTTCAGAGGGCAATACAGTGGTGCCTCACATAGCGATGATAATCCATGCAGCAAAAATTGCTGCAAAGCGATTTCATCGCTATGCGATATTAAAAAGCCCATAGGAATGCATTGAAACCCCTTCAATGCGTTCCTATGGGCTTAAAACTCACCTTAAAGCGAAAATCCTCCATACGGTGGCCATTTTCGCTGCCAGGTAAGCGAGGAATCCATCCCAGAAAACAGCGGGCGGCCATTTTTTTTTACCCGGCAGCCATTTTGGAACCGCCAATCAGCTGTTGGAAAATCATCACTATGCGATAAGCGGTAAGCGAAACAGCGAACCAATCATTGCAAAGCAATTTTTCCCCATAGGGAACATCGCAATGTGATCGCAAAAGCAATCGCAAAATCTTTGTCGCTATGCGATTTCATCGTTAAACGGGGCGCCCGTTAAGCGAGACACCACTGTATCTCATTTCCCATGATATCTCTGTTTGATGTTTTCCCTTCTTTTGTATGTCCTACCCCCAAATTCTTGAATGTAAGTCTGATCTGTAACATTAAACATTTTAATTCTGTAGATATACCAGGTAGTTTCAAATACCTGATCCTGGTGTCATATTCACAGTATCTTCCAGTAAAGTGCTTGGGGCAGATGCAAAAGGTACCCAGGAAACAAGTTCCACCATTTTGGCAGCAATGTTTGTTCAGTTTGCTTGCTGGAATCAAGAGCACAGAGAAATTTATTTATTTAAAAATATCTTTACCCTGCTTTTCTTCTAAAACAGGATCCAAGGTGTCTTACATAATTTAAAGCACAACATTAAAAGCTAACATAGAAAAATTATTCAGATATTTAAAAATAATTAATAACATTATATTAAAAATTATATAAAACCATTACTAAAGGCAGATTATGTCCTAGATAGTCAGTCACTGAGGAAAAGCCTGCCTGAAGAGAAAGGTCTTTGATACTTGTGGAAAGACAGCAAAGAAGGAGCCAGACTGGCCTCTCATGGGAGGGGGTTCCAAAGTCTAGGAGCAGCAGCAGAAAAGGCCCTCTCTTGTGTCACCACCACCAAGTGCACTTGTGAGGGTGGTGATACGGAGAGAAAGGCCCTCCCTGGTGATCTGAACACTTATGGACCCAAGCTACATAGGGCTTTAGAGGTTAAAACTAGCACTTTTAATTGTGATAGATCACTGTCGCCTCTCATGGGAGGGGGTTCCAAAGTCTAGGAGCAGCAGCAGAAAAGGCCCTCTCTTGTGTCACCACCACCAAGTGCACTTGTGAGGGTGGTGATACGGAGAGAAAGGCCCTCCCTGGTGATCTGAACACTTATGGACCCAAGCTACATAGGGCTTTAGAGGTTAAAACCAGCACTTTTAATTGTGATAGATCACTATTATGGTAAAGTTACTGCTTTACAGTTTTGAAAAATTAGGAATTAGTAGTTAGCAAGAGAGTTTTGTTCCTGATGTAATCATGAGATAATAAATGGGATCCCCTTTGTTGTTCTGACACATTGTATAAGTTTGATGTATCTAAATGTTTGTATATAACAGCACGCCCCAACTTAGCACTCTCTAGAAGTTGCACGCCAACTCCCATAATCCACAGCCTCCTTGCCCGTTGTAGTCCACCACAGGGCATAGAGTTGAGGGAAGCTGGTATGGAGAGCCAGAGTTTTAGAAGATGTCCAAGTGTAAAACCCATTCACTTATAAATTCATTATGAGCATGGGAATGCCGTTAATGTTTCCAGCCTTTATTCTAGCTTCATAAAATGCACATAGAAGTCACACCTCTCCCATGGTTGATATTAAGATTAGTGAACATTTTGGAATACTTTGAATATTTAGATCCATTCCTAAATAACTTGAAATACTTTTCTGAAAACCTTTTATCTTTTCCTTCTAGAAACAAACAATTCTCTGTTATTATAAATTATCACCATATTCCAACCTTTCCCTGATATCTACTGAAAAACATTGTGTTCATTGTGATGTAACTTGATATGGATGCATGCATGTTTTCTCTTCAGGAAAGACAAATTCATTATCACACATTGCAGACATTAGTTCAACATCTTTAAAGTTGTATGTTTAATGAGAAGGAATAATCAGATATTAATGATTTAGACTTGACTGGCCACATGTTGAAAATTTCTACATGCACATCTGCACACAGGCAGATACATGCTTTGAGTGCACTGATAACACATCTTTTATGACTCCTACGGTTCCACAGATGTTATTGGAGAATCTAAATTTAGTATTCTTGATCTTAATTGCTTGTTATTAGTAGTTTCCCCTCATATTTAAATTTACCTTCCACTTAAATTAAGGTATAGTGTAACATTAAGTATAATGTTACATGTACACCACATTTAAATTTAAGGGATGCATTCAAAAGATGATGCAGCAGCATTGGCGGGTGGAGAAACAGAGGTTAATCTAGATGGCCCTTAAGGTCCTTTCAACCTCTATGATTATATGATATCCATATGTAATGAAATAGTATGCATATCCATTCCTTGCTTGTATCAAAGATACATTTATAGTCAGTTTGATGCAAGCGACAGTTGTGGATTCGGGTGACAATATATTTAGCTGTCTTTTCCCCAAGTTTGCACAAGTTAAACATTTTCTTGCACTAATGCAGATAGTCCAGTTTAAAGTATCATCCTAATCTTCTGGGGTTATAACACTGCTTAGAAACTTCTTCATGCTACAGCTTTGAAGCGTCTGTGCTGGCTGGAGGATTCTGGGAGCAGAGTCCCCAGAAGTAACTTTTCCAAGTTCTGGGGCATACTTGTCTTTAAAGAGAAAACATGACTAATAATCAGTCAAAGCCAGTGACCAGCATCCTATTGCTAGTCCCAATGGGTAAGAGTAAATCAGTTGAACCATTTGCTGCATGGCAAATCAACACATATGAAAGTGTCTTTGGATCAACAGGTCTACTGTGGTGAGAACGAGCTATAGGATACTGGCCAGTATGACAATCTTTTAGACTGGGATCAAGAGATCCAGATTCTCATCAAATCATGTGAGTGAGCCATGAAACACACATGATGACATTGGACCAAGCACACGCTCTCAGGCTGATGTACCTATTGTGAGGCTAAAATGGGGAAGAGGAGATCTACATGCATATCCCTGAGCTCAAAGAACAAAAACATGTGACTAATAAAATTTGTGACTAATAAACAAAAACAAGATTGGGATAAATATCTTCTTGGAGTCAATAGGATTAACATCTGAATAGACACATTCAGGATTAAATAATATCGCAGATTTTTTAAAAAAACACATTCTAAGTAGAAGAAATCAAGATGCAACTGTTGAGACTCAAGAAGCAACATACCGTCTGTGATGCCAATAAAAGGCAAAACATTAGAAGGGCTGTCCTTCTTTTTCTTTTCAGAATTGAGGTGATTTAGAATGTGAAAGGTATCCAATGGTGTATTCAGCCTCTCTTGGTTTGAGTTGTCATCACAATCTTCTCCTTCACAGGCTTCAAAAAGGGAAAAAAATGGTCAAATCCACAATAATGGTCACACTATCTGATTTTAGAGTACTGTACACAGTGCTAAGCAACACAATTGTATTATAACTTCAAGAAATTGACCAAAATCCTGCTGCTTAATGTAGTAAATTACACTAGAGTAGGCCCATTGATCAATGGAGATTTGGTGAGTCAACCCCTCCATAAATCCATTGATTCAAACAGGCCTATTGTAACTGTAATATGCTATGCTAAAATAAGTCATAGTTTGAGTAGACCCATTTAAAACAATGGAACTTCTACAGGAGTTGACTCACCAAATCCCCATTGATTCAAGTGAGCCTACTCTACTACGATTTACTATGCTCAGCAACCAAATATTGGCCTATATATGCAGTCTTTAATTTACTGTATTCTTATTTTATTAACTTGCTTCAATGGGAATAGGGACGGGAAATGTCAAGAAGACACCCTTATTTCAAACATAGTTGAAACTTAGTTGTATAGACTAGTTACATTTAAATTCAGATGAACTTTGATTCCTAACATTTCTAGAATTTTTAGAACTAGGGAGTTAGGCTTTATGGTGCCACACATTTTTTTCTTTATTTTTACTTTGGTTTTTGCCAAATACTATTTTTGAGCCCTCCTAAAAGGCTCTCAGTCTTAGACATGTAATTAAAAGAAAGGCATGAACCGTCCCAACCCACCTCTGATACAAACATAACGAGAGGCATGTTTAACCACACAGCTTCATCTGCAACTTGCTGTTGGGCACCAGTCATTACAAGTACCTACCTTTCAGAAATTTTGCATTCCAGGCTTTTAGGCATGGGGATATTATGGGGGAAATGCTCTTCATTTCTACAGGGTTAGCTGTTCATGCGAGATCTGGGCAACTTGCTGTGGCTAACTGCAGCCAATTGATGAGATGCCAGGGCACATCTTGGTCTCGCACATAGCAATGCCTGCTAGCACAACAGGGGTGCACCCTGACACCTCAACAATTAGCACCAGTTACCTATGACAAGTTACACAGACCTTGTGCCAACATCAATAGGATGCCAGTCTTAGTACTTTAGATGACAGTTTTATTAAACTTTTATTTCTTTACATGCAAAAAAAAAACTTTGAAAAAAAGTACTTACCATCTCCTATTTGGATTAGTTGTATGGATAGAATCACACTTATAAAAACCCTGAAACAGAAGAATGTAAATTAACAACAAGCAAAATCATAATTTCAGAACAACATCTTTGTCTAAATTTAATGACACATTACAACTCCAATCTATAGCCATCATAGGAATGTATTATTATAATGGCAATGATAATTGTAATTTCAGCCAAATTACAGATATAGTAATCCTTAGGGTTTTGTTGTTGTTGTTAAATCACTGAATACATTACAGAAATTTCTCCCTATGGCTAAAAGAAAGATAAATCTTCAATACTTAGGAGCCAACAGAAAATGCACAGCTGGTTTTCTAGGAGAAATCAGAAATTACATATCTTAGAAGGTAAACTTAGTTTACATACATTTTTCATGGGATGTGTTGCATTAGTTTACCTCAAAGTCTGCATTTTTTCCAGTGCTGTCTTCTCTTCAGAATCCACCTGCTGTGAAATTTTGCTGAACCCCAGACAACAACAAGCAACTCTTACAGAGGGAATCAAGAGGCAGCAAGTGAGTGACAGCTACCCGGCTTGTTTAATTTATAGAAAGAAGCTCCTTTATCTCTTAAAACAATTGATACTAGCTTGTTTCCTCCTCCCATTTTGTCACCTGACCCTGCTGACATAATAATTTGCCTGAGGTTAAGATTAATTTTCTTCGAGAAAACAAAATACATAACCAGTTCAGATATACTTAATTTGGATGTTTTAAATGTAGCATCTTTTCTATGCCCCTTTTTTTGACCTAAGGATCCTGAAAAATATATTTGATAATGTAAGAATATCTATATTATATTTTCTTAATCAATGGGGAAGCATTGACAGGAAGGACAAGACTGGGAAGATACTTTAAAAATAATTTAGTTTCTCTGAGTTAGTTCTTTTTTTACATTGTCCATATTGTCTTCTATATACCATTTTAGCACCTTAAGTTCTTGCTGATGGCAGTGCTGGAAAACTGAACAGGAATGGAAGCTTTAAAAAGTTTATGTGTACTACAGCTCCCATTATCCCTTGCTAGCATGGCCATACTGGCTGGGTTATGCTGAGAATTGCAGGTCCAGAAAGAAACTGTACAGGCTAGTGAAGTAATTGATGCAGGTTAGTGGCCCACAAATTTTGGGACTCTAAATCATTTTGGACTACAGTTCCCAGAATCCCAGGCCATTAGCCATGCTTGTGGGGTTTCTGGGAGTTGAAATCCAAACTCCCTTGCGGGGGGGCTTGAGACAGAGAAGATGTGATGTAGAAGCAGCAACACAATACTTGTACTCTTGATTGTGCATTTGTTTTTGCAACCGGTTCTACAATCAGTTCTGCAACTAAAATGGGACCTTGCACAGAGTGCAGAACTAGGAGTGTGTGAGTGTGACGTTGTTGGTGCTGATGGAATGACAGGATTGAATATTTGCCAAAGCATCACATGGACTAGGTTTTAAAAACCTAAAAACCTTCACCTGGACATTTTACAAGATTGCATACACTGGGAGTTCATATGAAATACAGCTGTTGTGTGTGTTAGGTCACTTTTTACTTACAATGACCCATGAATTAGTGACCTCCGAAAGGTCCTGTTGTTAACAGCCCTACTAGGTCTTCCACAGTCAAGTCCATGCTTTCATTTTTTGAGTTAGTTCATCTTATATTAAGTCCTCCTCTTTTCCTGCAACCTCCACATTTCCCAAGAATTTTTAAAATGATTTCCTTACACCAAGGATAGCTCGTTTCTAGGGTGAGTGGGGCACCTTGCTCAAAATTTGAATGCACTGTGCCCTCCTGCTCTGCTCTATGAGCCACTCCTGCCTTACACATTAAACATGAAAATGTACCATTTTGTACAAAAGACACTGTTAATTATTACTGGTGTCATTTGGCTATACTACAATTATCAGAAGCTCCTCTGTGTATATATGTGATGGTAAACTAGAGCTTGCTTCCTAGTTTGGAAGCTTCTTTGCATTTACCATAGATGTACATCTAAGCAGATTTGTTTGGGATTGCCATGTTAATGTAGGAAGCAGCTCTTTCACGAAATCTTAGCCTCACCCCTCAACATTTTTTGTTCAAACAATTATTAAAAATGGAGTTAAATTTCATTAAGCTCTGGGGGGAAAGAGGCCTAATTATAAGGCCCTCATATATAGCGGTCATCATCAAAACCTTTGTAAATATAGAATTAATGGAATGCTTAATGTGAAATCAGAATAAGGAATTAATGAGTACTTCTGAGGTTTTAATTGTTATTCTGCACAGAGATATTGTATTAAATTAATAACTCTTAACCAAAATGCCTATAGTCCTGCTCTTCTGGTCTGTTCTTTTCCACTAGAGGCTGCAGTGCTGAAGTTCATTAGGGCATTGTTCTGTGCCAGAAGATTAATTACCTCAGACTAATTGTTTTATAATTGATTTTTGAAATGACACATTATTGATCATTTGGTTCTGCTTTGCCTCTATTTGTGTATCATTATTGTAAAGCATAAGAAAAAACCCTAATGGGGTCACGTGCATGTTGTTGATGATGACTTGGGGATAGAAACGATTTCTTCTCTGAATTATGTGAAATTTAAATTTAAATGGAGCAAAATGGCAAAAACTGACTCTTTGAGATGCGGGCAATAAAGATTAGCAGCTCGTTAAAAGCTAATAGGTCTAAATTGTTCACAAATATAGCAAGACAATCGCCTGAAGAAACTCTTGCATTTGCCATTGTTGAGTTCTCATAGTCAAGTTGTCTCTGCATGGCAGCATGAAATCAATTATGCTTTTCTGAAACATAAGATGAGATCTCAGTGCCATTATATCAGAACAATCAACTCATTCATTATTACCTCTTTGCCATCAGGCTGAATGAACAGTTTTACTTAATGAAGTTGATGTTAAAATGAAGCTTGCTGTTTCAAGAAGGATATACCCTCTCGTAGGATTGCCTGTTCTGTTTTGCCATGTTTCTCAAAACCTTCCTGAGACAGGTTACCAGGTAGAAATTCAACTAGGGGAAGGATACCTGGCATGGAGGCACAGGGCTTTGGACGTCAGCATCTGCTTGATCTCTTTTTCTCTGTCTCTTTCTTATCGTACATGGATTTAAGATTATTTGATGATCCAGTTTAGTAGGAGATGTAAGAAAGTAAAGATGTAAGATTGTGTAACACCCTGAATGTTGGTCTGGGACTTGGTGGTCATGGGGCCAGTTCCTACTGACCCATGAATATTTATAGAGTGACCTGGGGTGAATACCTCTTTCTCCGCCTGGCCTCACTAGGTGGGTGTTGTGAAAATGATATTGGAGTTGGGGTAGCTCATTGTATGTAGGACATAAATGTAACTAATAAATCAGTCCTTCCAGTATAGTGGCAGCATAGTTTTATCAGAGCAATTGAGGGCAGAAGCTGAAATGTTTTTGGTAAAATACTTCTATCTGTTAGCTGCTCTCATAAGTTTTTATTTATTTATTTATTTACATTTAGACATAGTCTACTCTGGACAGCTCACAAAACTCCTTTATCATTCTATGAGGCAACACCCCACAGCTATAAAAGGAATTAACAAGTACAGTGGTGCCTTGCAAGACGGGCGCTTCGTTTAACGATAAATCCGCATTATGACGAGGTTCTGAATGGGGGAATTTCGCTGCGTGATGATCGGTTCCCTGTTTCGGGAACCGATTTTCGCTTCCCGATGATCAACATAGCTGATCGTCGGGTTTTCAAAATGGCCGCCGGGGGCTCGAAATGGCTCCCTGCTGTGTTTAGGAGCCATTTCTCGCTGCACAGGCACCCGAAAATGGCCGCCTCTATGGAGGATCTTCACTGGACGGTGAGTTCTTAGCCGATTGGAACGCATTAACCAGGTTTTAATGCATTTCAATGGCTTTTTAATTTTCGCTTTATGATGTTTTCGTTCTACAGCGATTTCGCTGGAACGAATGAATGTCGTAAAGCGAGGCACCACTGTAACATGCTGGAAAGTGAAGCTGTCCTTTATCATATACAGTAACTGAAGTGTAATCTTTATCCTTCAAGCATCCAGAAAAATCTTGATTGAATTGCCATTCTGTTCCTATTATCTTTTTTCATAATAAATAAATAAATTTGCAAATACTGTTACACAGCCCCACCCAAGCAACGGAATGGTGTCATTGACAGCAACAGATTGCTGCTGATTAAAGGCTTCCTTTTCCAATTTCATGGTATGCACAACTTGTACAAAGTGCAGTTAAGTAGTGCATACCCCCAAATCGCAAAAGGAATCCTTTATTCACCAGCACTCTGCCATTGCAGCTGATGTGATGCTCCTTGTGCAAGTGGATCCTGCCTGCCTGGATTTGGCCAGAATATATATCATAAATGAATATTCCCTCAAAGGTTTGGAATTAATAAAAGGAATGCACTGGCATAAGGTGTGGCAATAGCTATGAGACCACAGAGCTTTCTTAAACCAGAGCTTCTGGATGGAGAGATTAAGGACAAGAGGGCCCTTCCAGTATTAAAAGGACTGCACTGCACCAGGGCTGTATAAATCCCAAAGAGCTCATTTAAGTTCCACTAACATAAAGTTATTGATAGCACTGTTCTCAGTTTTAGGAGTTGAAATGAAATGCTCAGAGGACGTATCCCAAGCCTTTCCATTTTCCAGTCAGGCCTCAAATTCAGCTCCTTCCCCCTGTGCCAACCTGGTATGACACTGTGACAAACAGGAGGGATCTATCAGGAAAAAAAAGAAAAGAAAAGGAGAATTTAAGAAAGTAACATCAGAGAAAAAGAAAAGTGAACCCACAAAACTCTGTCCTAGCTAGCAGGAACCAACAGGTCTCGGGGATGTTGGCCAATCTGCCATTTCATACCCTGGCCTCTCCAGGCACATGTAGGATGTCACGCCTGAATGGACTGAAATAGGAATTAGGCACTTCCATGAAAGACAAATCTTATCATGCAACCAGCTATGGCAGGTATGTGGAACCTCCAGACTGTCAGCAATGTATCTCTTGCTACTTTCTTTTATCATAAGGGGAAGTACAGCACTGTCTGACTAATTGAAACTTCCATTCTGTCCCCATTTCACTGAAGGGCAATCTTCCTTCCCTACATTTGACACACTGCGTACCTCAAAAGTGGTCTCCTATCCCAACCTAGTAGCAGGAAGTCATTGCATATAACACTGGCAAGGCTTGTGGACCAGGAAGTGGGCTCATCAGATGTCCAATTTTGGCTAGTTGCCTCTTTGCCCTGGTCTTGGGCTGCCCGTGACATAATGACTGCATCTGCATTAACTGCCTATCTACAAAGTTGATTCCAAAGAGCTTCTTTTTTTAGAGATGAGACATTTTTCCTAATGTTTTCCAAATACTTTACCAATGCAGTGTTGTCAGTACAAGATCTCAAATGTTAGATAATTGGTATTAATAA